TAGCCAGTCATCCCTTACTAGCCTTAAATTCCTTCCTCTCACTCTCCTCAACCCCCTCACACTTAGCCTTTGAGGGATTGCTTTGACCATTTCATTGCTTTTTAGGAACCATTTTTTCACAGAAATAAAGGGTGCACACAGCACAAGCAGCAAAAAAACTAGACGTGAGGCGAACAACGCTCAAACAATGAGTGCTGGAGAGAGACTAAGGATCTGTGAAATGGCGGGAAGCTACAGCAGGGGATGCCTACACACCACTTCATTTGCATGGATTCAGCATAGTGCTCAGTGCATGGTAAATTCAAGTTTTGCTTTTTGAGACTTTTTTTTTTGGAATATTTTCGATCCGAGGTTGGCTGAATCCACAGATGCGGAACCCACGGACGTAGAGGGCCAACTGTATGTCATGACAGGAGGGATTCATTTTTAATCTATACTGTAAAGAGGATGATAAATTGTACAGTAAGTTAAACCATCCCCTCACCCCATAAAATGAAACACTCCGAATTTCTTAAGGGGCTTCAGAAGAGGAGACTATATTGCATTCTGAGAGGCTGACAGCACTTTAACCACCTCTCTTGTTTTTGAAGTCACACATATATATCCACCATTTCTAAATCCATCTTCTAATGGTCTATTATACAGTCCTTTGAAGCACATCTTATCTGTGACTTAAAATAGAGTTCAGGGCATGAGCCACAAATCTGTCACATTTGTCATCTTTAGCCCAAGAGAATGAAAATCCTACCCTTTGATTCTGGCTCTGGGAAATGTTTTCAAGATTTTTCAAAAGCACTCAGCTGCGTTAAGTACAGCTAGTTTACAAAAAATGAAGCTTCCCTGTGGTAGAGAGTCGGGCACTGTCGTCAGCTTTACATCTGCACAAGTCAGGGTGCATGCTTTCCTCTTAGCAAGCAGCAGCACAGAAAACCATAAAGAAACCAGACAGCACACTTGCTGGCAGCTGAAGGCAGGATGAGCCTGCTGAGCAGAATACTGCATGGCCAATGGGGCCGAGGAAGAAATCTGACCCTGCCAGAAGCGTAAGCCATGGCGCCTCTGACCCAGCCAGCAAGGTATGTCTTTGCTCGTTCATTCTTTAAAGACCCAAAACCAACCAGCCCTACCCCTCAGCCCTCATCTCACCGTACACAGACAATTCACAGGTCAGAAATTCTGGAACGACTTTTCCAACTCTGTTTGCCAACTGTTCATCAAGAAATGTGTTCTCTGTCTACAATGTTTGGCACTAGC